ATTAAAAATTGAAAACTCTTCCATGGAAGATCAGAAATGTGGAAAGACAAATCAGTGGAAGCAGAAACGAAAAAAAATATAAACTTGAATGGACACCAAAATGATAAGAGGAGAGAAACCAGCAAGAATGGATGTTTTTAAAGTTCAGTGAAGCAAATTTATGAGAGCCGATGACCACACAGTCCTGTGTTTATACTACCTGATTGCTCGAATGGAAAGAAAATAGGGTAAACATGCGGGAAAAATCAGGCTAGAGAATTCCACATAGATGAGAAGGTCGTGGGGGTAGTGCGGTGGAAGAGAGATAACTGGAAAGTAAGGCAGTACTGGAGATAATACTGCACCAGATACGTGGAGAAGCCACAGAGCTATATAAGTGAAGAGAAAAACCAATACAAAACAACCATGGATGATATGGATGTCTATTCCTTAAATCTAAAGATGGCAGGGAAATGGACTGACTGAGATGAGGAACCATTGGGAGGTATGATAAAGGCCAGGAGAATAGGGATACATAATACCAAAGTTCAAAAGGCGGGGCCAGTCGTAAATCGACCTCTTCTACCCCCCTCCCCCCATAAATACAAATCACATTCAGCAACTAACACACATCAGTTACTCAGAGGGCAAAGGCAAGGCCCGAGAACTCAACCCGCACAGACACAGTTAGGCGAATACAATTAGGAGAGCACAGACAACTCCACAAGCGTACATAATTTACACGACAACCCTCCTAGTCCATTAACAACGTTACAATTAACACTCCAGCAAACTACTCCAAATTGTACTTGCATGGTTGAGTGCACCCACCATTTCTGGACACTGTATTAGCCACTCGCGTTCTAGGTAAAGATATTTCTAACTATTGTAATAGCCACTTGTGTTCTAGGTAAATATATTTCTAACTACTGTGATAGCCACCCGTGTTCTAGATAAAGATAATTCTAGCCACCCTGAGTGTATAGATGAAGACACTTCTAACCATTACTCCAAGTGAGGATTAAAAAACCTTATGACACTACTATATGCCACACTGAAGACACACACACACACACACACACACACACACACACACACACACACACACACACACACACACACACACACCTTACGTCAACGATGCCGTCAGTCCCAGAGTGGGAGAAGCCTGAAGATCAAAGGTGGAGCCAAGAGGACAATAGAATTTCGCACAGCTAAATCATGCAGACAGGGAAACTATATTTAGTCCGACTCTAAACAGCGAGGAAACTGTGCTGGATGTTCAAGAGCCAGCAGTGCTTTAGCTCTGTATATTGTATAATACAACACCACTGCACCACATATGGGTGGAAGATTCTTGTTTAACGTTGGAAGCAAGTTGGTCGAGGGATAGCTTACTTAACACGAAACACCTAACCTAAACAAGGAACACCTGAACAGTAGGGAACACCTGAACAACACAGAACATATAGTCACTCAAGAAACATCTGAAGAAGCATGAAACACTTGAACAATCACAGAACATCCAGATAATAAGGGCTCTGGTGGCCTGGTGGTTAACGCTCTCGTTTCACACGGCGAGGGCCTGGGTTCGATTCCCAGCCAGAGTAGAAACATTGGACGTGTTTCTTTCAACCTGTTGTCTATGTTCCCCATCAGTAAAATGGGTACCTGGGTGTTAGTCGACTGGTGTGGGTCGCATCCTGGGACACTGACCTAAGGAGGCCTGGTCACAGACCGGGCCGCGGGGGCGTTGACCCCCGGAACTCACTCCAGGTAAACACCTGGACAATCACAAAATCTTCAAATATCGTACAAGACACAAAGTATGTAAGAGTCTATACACAAATAACCCTCACATAGAAAGAGGCTTATGACGACGTTTCGGTCCAAACTGGACCACTGATTAGTCAATGGTTCAAGTCGGACCGAAACGTCGTCATAAGCTTCATTCTCCTATGCGTTGGTTATTTGTGTATTGTTCTAGTCACGCTATTGCGCCTAATTCTTAATGTAAGAGTCTGTTAACGCTATTTTCATTCCCTGGAGAGGAGTGATGGATACCTGATCTGCTGTTGCAGCCACAAGGTTCGTGTGGTGTACCTGCAGACCTCTTATAGATTCCAGGGGTCATCGGCTCCACGGCTTGCTCTCAGACCAGACCTCCTGACAGATCATGGCCTGATCATCCGAACTGTTATTGCTGGCCGCTTGCAGTCCGACGTATGAGCCACAGCACCGACTGGTCAGGAACTAGTTTGAGGAACTTGTCAAGTTTCCTCCTGAAAAAAGCTTAAGTCAGTTATTTTCCTTATGCACACCGGTACAGTTCTGGACTCGAAATTACAAGGACAGTGATTTGGTCCCCAGTCTCTTTACACAAACTGCAAAGTACAAATCTAATGAAATTTTGCTTCCGAAGCGGCTAGTTCAACTAACATCCGTCTTTTGGACGGAAACTAGAAATTAGATAAACGAACGCTTAGCGACTAAGCCAAAAAGTGTCCAACGTTACACGTATATCTGAATGCATTTGCAATGTTATATTTTGAACACACACGTCTTTTAAAAACACATTCAGGATATTTGATCAAAAATTCTTGTACCATTTTCTTATTTATAATAGACCTGTACATGTCACACAATTTCAACTATTATCTATCTCCATATTCCTAAAAAATGGAGAGTTAAACAGTGTCCAAGAGATAAACTATAAAGCAGACTTCATACTTCACATTTACCTTGATCAACGTGTGGAAACATCAGACAGACAAGTGCACAGTACCTCTAGCTTTGACTAAGACTGATATCGACACCCTGTTTATACAGCAACGTGCTTCCCAAATGTTAAATTATTTTTCATCATCAAATAATAATAATAATAATAATAATAATAATAATAATAGTAATAATAATAATAATTTGTCCACTAACGATTCCGAGTATATATATATATATATATATATATATATATATATATATATATATATATATATATATATATATATATATATATATAATATAGAGAAGAGAGAGAGAGAGAGAGAGAGAGAGAGGAGAGAGAGAGAGAGAGAGAGAGAGAGAGAGAAAGAGGGAGGGAGGGAGGGAGGGAGGGAAGGAGGGGTTGGGGTCGTCCTAAGAAAGATTGAATAAAGGGGGTAAAGGAGGTAGGTGTGAGGGGGCTCAAACCTCCAACAGGAGTGTGTAAGCGTGTCAGACAAGAGTGAGGGCAAGTGGTTTTTATGATTACGTGAGTAAGATAACATTTATGAAGGGATTTAGGGGAACCTGTTAGCCGGACTTAATTCCTAGCGAAACTTCTCTTTACTTCGATGAAGAATGCACACGTTCGAATCCTGTTCTGGACTGAGAGATGATGCTGCAAATAATTTCACTCGTTTGCAAAGTGTTGAGAATATATATATATATATATATATATATATATATATATATATATATATATATATATATATATATATATATATATATATATATATAATGTATAATCCGCATGGGTAAAATATACTAACAAGACATCCATCAGTACAGAAATAACATGAATATTTATTTCTGGTGTACCTAAAGACCCTTGCTCAGGCTATACAAAGCTAGCTGGAAGGAAGCCTTTGTACATGCAAACAAGTCAGTGCACACCAAAAATACAAGCACTACGGTAGGTTTACTGGCGCGTGCTCAATAACTTCGCGTGCTCACACATCCGCAACTCCACTAATAAACCGCCATATTTCCACATTATTCATATTTGAAATAGTCTAACTTAGACTGATCAAATTCTTAAAAGAGGCGCGCTTTAACATAACATTTACGAAGACCTCACTTTTTCTTGGACAATTCTCTTCATTAATTCTTTGTTAAATTTAAGAAGAAATATCGAGTGTAGCAATACAAGATACTCTGTATACACTGGACACAATAATGAAGCATACCATCACTTACCTGCATAAAATTAACTTTGCTGATTCAAAAGCACTGACGGGATGTAACAACATACAGCAGAGGAGGAGCAGAGAATACGTTATCATTATCAATATTCCAAGTTACAATACTAAAAACCAGAATGTCGAAACTTAACAATCCTTTATGGTGGATGAGTGAATAACAAAAAAGTCAGAGGCCAAGGAGGTACTAACGTCCGGTTAAATAAGGGTTAAATGAGAATTTGTTAACTATGTTTCACGCTTGTAGGACTGCTGATGTTTTCTATGTCTTGTTAAGAACAGGTAAGATGCCGGTTAAATCTCACAAGCTACTACTGACATTCATACACGTACTACATTACTGTCTTACATGCATTTCAACAGTTCTTAATGCTGTAATATTTCCTTTCCAACCAAAGAGGCCTCTGGTCTGAGACCGTGGGGAAGATAATCACCAGACCACTAATAGATAACTGATACTCTAGCAGCTCGGCCTGAGCATAAAATTTCCTTGTTATAACTGCCTGGTCAAGTAGGCTGTTGTTGCTAGCGGCCAGCAGACTGATCAAAACCTGGCTAATCACTTTTACTATATATATATATATATATATATATATATATATATATATATATATATATATATATATATATATATATATATATATATATATATATATATATAAAATAGTCAAAATGTGCATAAAGTTAAAAACGTGTAAAAAAAAACTGAGAATGTGATAAAGAACCAATGGGAGCCCAATGAAAGTTCTCAATTAGAATTAACAATTTCTGATTGCAAAGAACAGCACCTTGACTGATGAGGTTACCAAGAAAGCAAACTCCTCAACCAAGCTAGGTGAGGGGTAGAAGAACCTCTTAAGATGCTCTCAAGAAGTAAGCATTTTAAAACAAGAGCCAATTTTAACTGAGGTGTGGATTTTAACACGTGTAGATTTGGACACAGGTGTGAATTTGACACAGGTATGAACTGTGATGCAGGTGTGAATAGTGATACAAGTTGTTAGACTGACGTCGTGAATTTTGCTACAGAGGTGAAATAAAAGCAGAAAATACTGTACATACCTTGTCTGGGACTATTGCTGGGAGAGTTGGAGGCAGTGGTGGGAGAGGCAGCCGCCCCTCTCTTTTTCTCCCTCCTCATGGTGAGGCTCTCCAACACCTCACCTCACCCTTCAGTTCCTTACCACCTTAGTGAGGCGCAAACTCTCCTAATCACTGTCCAAGCAAATTTTTCAGAATTTTTAACAACTCAGTTTTCATCATTAGATCTTCGCGGGCTCATCGCGTTCTCGTGAGTGTACTTGAGGGGCGTTTAGGAACTTGGGAGAGTGACTGAGCAAGTGTACCGCAGCCGCCGCTCACCGCAGACAAACATGATAAGTATCCCTGGAGCCTGTATCAAGTGTGAGAAGGTAAGCCGCTAGGGTCAGACTGCGGTGCTCGTCTCACGCAACACTCACCATCATCACCTCTGTACATGAATGGTATACAATATGAACAAGATAAAGTATTAGACATATATGCAACACCTGGGTATCTTTATTTATAGATGTTTTGCTATCCAATGGCTTTATCAATACAAGAACAATGTTACGACTGTAGAACTATAGACAAAAGACGAGGTAATTAGTCCATCAGCCTTGGGGTTGGCGATGAGTATCGTGGTCTTCAAGACTACGGTGATCTTCACCAGCTCCAAGGCTGAGGGACTGATTACCTCAGCTTTTGTATATAGTTCTACAGTCTTCCCATTATATCCTTGATTTTGTATTGATAAAGCTACTGGATAGCGAAATGTCTACAAATAAAGATACCCAGATGTTGCACATGTGTCTAATTCTTAATCATCACCTCTGCCAATCACCACACCCACATTCAATATACATCCACTACGAAAAACTTATACCCAACATTAGAGGTAAACAAGCGCAGCTAAATCACAGGCACCTGACCTACATATTTGTAGCAATAAATGCCAGGATAACTTGGTCAAGACTGTGAGTGAGAATTTTCTTGTGTGCACATCTATATGTGCCGGCACGGGGTTAAAATGCAGCTACGGGAGTGCGCCTGTCAATTTTCAATCGACTATTGCACTTTAAGAAAACCATTTTCTCTCTTATCTTCTGTTTGTGTATGAAATCAATTTCCTTTCATTTTTCTTTGAGCTAAAGTTCAATTAATATTTCTATTCTTCTTGACCGAGTTTGTTTTCATATTTTCCAAGAGGTAAACAGAATTATTTTCTCTTTCCAACAACATGAGGTTTATTTTTTTAATCTATCTTCGTACCTTATGTTATACGGATCAAAGATCATGCATACGCGTGCGCGTGTACTCACCTATTTGTGGTTGCAGGGGTCGATTCATTGCTCCTGGCCCCTCCTCTTCACTGATCGCTACTAGGTCCTCTTTCTCCCTGCTCCATGAGCTTTATCAAACCTCGTCTTAAAATTATGTATGGTTCCTGCCTCCACTACGTCACTTTCTAGGCTATTCCACTTCCTGACAACTCTATGACTGAAGAAATACTTTCTAACATCCCTTTGACTCATCGGAGTCTTCAATTTCCAATTGTGACCTCTTGTTTCTGTGTTCCAATTCTTCGTGTGTGTGTGTGTGTGTGTGTGTGTGTGTACTCACCTAAATGTACTCACCTAATTGTGGTTACAGGTGTTGATTCATAGCGCTTGGCCCCGCCTCTTCACTGGCCACTACTAGGTCCACTCTGTGTGTGTGTGTGTGTGTGTGTGTGTGTGTGTGTGTGTGTAAAATTGCCTATTAGTAATTTTAGGAGTCGGGGGACGCTCGTAGTGTCCTATCTTCTATCCTTCTTAATGAGTTGTATAAATGTTTAAAGTTTCCCCTTACTTGTCAAACTTGTTCCTCTTACTGGTCATTCCAACACCTCACATCTCTGAGTTCTGAAGTACTACTTTAGTGTCCCTTCAGCACCACTTATGTCTTTCTGCATATTATGACGCCTTGTTCTCTCTGTTGATGGCACTGTGAATCCTCCCTGTCTATCCTATATTATGCTCGTATAAATTTACCTTCACAACAATGTTTTCATTCGTCGTATTTTATAATGTTTACTCTGGCAGCTCTTTTGCTGCTAGTCTTTTGAACTTCAGTATTATATCCTACGATTTCTTAAGGTGCTGACACCTTACTGAAGCCAAATACTCCAACTGTGCTCTGACGTATGCTGCAAACACATGTTTGCTCTATAACTGTTCATAAATTTATGACAGGCTATGTGGGGTTAGCACACTGGCCTGCTAGTTGTAGGACCGGCTTGCCATGGGTTCGAGCTCCATCCGGTCTGTGTAATTTATTTGCAATCGTGTTGTTAAGATTTCCTGATTCATAAACTTAAATGTTATCCTGGGTGTTGTCCGTACTGTGTCTGTCTCAGTACTGAATATGTGAAGGAATGACACGGGTGCAGAACACGTTTTAAGTGTAATAAACGTTTCGCACTACGTAGAGCTGTCAGTACTTGTTTGATAAAGCTCTGCAAAGAGCGAAACGTCGCCACAGTAAAAGCTTGTTCTGTAACGGTCTCTTTTCGTCAATAGTGTTGGCCGTATGCTTTTGCATCTGTGGATTACAGAAGATATAGGCTGTTGTTTATAATCGCCCCCTAAATTTTTCTGTCTCGTGTTCAGAAGATTTACGATAATCGATATTCGTGGGGCCTATTTCAACTTTCATCCATTTCCACCACATGACATTTATCAACATTAAATTCCACCGTGCATTTGTCGTTCCATTTGCTCAATTTATCCCAAGCCTGTTGCAGGGTCTTAAAAGTCATGGTGAATGCAAGACCATCACAATCACCCGATAGGAACGCCTGTGCAAGGTTAACACCTGCATCACCACACCCTCGCCAAGAAGACAATACAATGCAAGGGTATCACCATCACTACACCCTCACCTAGAAGCTAAAACATTGTCACTATCACCAATACACTCTCACCAAATATTTGCACTGGAATACCGCTGCACATTTAACGGCCACATTTAAATACGGTTAAGTGGCAGATCTTCACAATGTATAGAAGATTCCCCTGTACAAGCAATGTCTAAAATCCCTCGCTTTGTACTCCTGGTTGAAGATGCGAAAAAAACTGTATCACAGTTTACGCATGAAAGATCCTGACTGTGTTGGTTCCAAATATGTACCTTGAAATTACTCCTTATAAGAGCGGGAGGCATGACTGACGGTGTAAGATACCCTCGATGAAAAGCAAGAATAAATCCAGTACACTAAGGATAACTCAACGAGAAGAAAATGTTCAAGATTTTTCCACTCTCTTTCTTAAACATAAAGGGTGTTAAAACAGATTCCTGTCAAGAGAATAATTTGAAAAGTTCCTGATCAGCCAGGCTGTAGTGCATACTGGGACTGCGTGTAGCTAGTATCAACAGCCTAGCAGTTCAAGCCATCTACAGAAGACCTGGTCCTGGAACTTGAAAGATAAACTATGGAACAATCACCTGGTAGACACCAACACATGGCGGTCACAAAGAATATCAGAATGAACACAAGGCAACATCAGATAATAACCAACATTAACACACCGTAACCTGAAGTTACTAAGTGTTATATGAGCCTACGGTCTGCAGGTAGCAACAGCCACTTTAATCAAGTGGTCACCAAGATATTCTGCCAACATACGTGTGTGTGGTGATTACACATGTAGATATATCTTTATCTACACTCACCACACAGCCACCAGCACGAGATGGTCACCATAACTTGACCACTACCTGTTACAAACACCATATCAGCCAGGTTGTGATGGCTATGCAGTCCGTGGGTTGCTGGCAGCAACAGCCTGGTTGACCAGGCAGCCATCAAGGATGTCTAGCCTCATAACGGGTAAAGAAGGTGAACAGAATCCTCGAAACCGATCACAGGTATAATCGTTACACCAAGAGTCACCAGCATCACCTCCACACCGTTACCGGCCTGTCCGTCACCAAAACCACTATCACAATCACCGGTACACTGTCATCTTTGCCACAATCACAGTCATTACAGTGACCACACCGTCGCCAGCACCGTCAGTAGCAACATCAGCGCCACACAGTGGCTCACCAGACAAGGATAGCGAGCGACCGGCCCGCACAGCGGCCATACAGAGACTGAGGGGAGGGAAGACAACGGCAGCAGCGGCGAGTGAGGGGAGGTGAGGGGCCGCTGCCAACACAGCCTCACTCACACTCACAGGCAGACACCACAAACATTGCCAAATTTTTACAACAACGCTACAAATTCTTTACTTGGCCTTATCTACCTTGACCTAAATTCTCAACTGAACTGTGACAGAAAGAGAAAGAGAGAGAGAGAGAGAGAGAGAGAGAGAGAGAGAGAGAGAGAGAGAGAGAGAGAGAGAGAGAGAGAGAGAGAGAGAGAGAGAGAGAGAGAGTTTATCATTTTGAGACAAACCATTACTCCCACAAACACTATAATACCACATCATTACTCCCACAAACACTATAATACCACATCATTACTCCCACAAACACTATAATACCACATCATTACTCCCACAAACACTAATACCACATCATTACTCCCACAAACACTATAATACCACATCATTACTCCCACAAACACTAATACCACATCATTACTCCCACAAACACTATAATACACATCATTACTCCCAACAACACTATAATACCACATCATTACTCCCACAAACACTAATACAATCATTATCCCACAACATATACCACATATTATCCCACAAACACTATAATCCACATCATTACTCCCACAAACACTATAATACCACATCATTACTCCCACAAACACTATAATACCACATCATTACTCCCACAAACACTATAATACCACATCATTACTCCACACAAACACTATAATACCACATCATTACTCCCACAAAACACTATAATACCACATCATTACTCCCACAAACACTATAATACCACATCATTACTCCCACAAACACTATAATACCACATCATTACTCCCACAAACACTATATACCACATCATTACTCCCACAAACACTATAATACCACATCATTACTCCCACAAACACTAATACCACATCATTACTCCCACAAACACTATAATACCACATCATTACTCCCACAAACACTATATACCACATCATTACTCCCACAAACACTATAATACCACATCATTACTCCCACAAACACTAATATACCACATCATTACTCCCACAAACACTATAATACCACATCATTACTCCCACAAACACTATAATACCACATCATTACTCCCACAAACACTAATACCACATCATTACTCCCACAAACACTATAATACCACATCATTACTCCCACAAACACTAATACCACATCATTACTCCCACAAACACTATAATACCACATCATTACTCCCACAAACACTATAATACCACATCATTACTCCCACAAACACTATAATACCACATCATTACTCCCACAAACACTAATACCACATCATTACTCCCACAAACACTATAATACCACATCATTACTCCCACAAACACTATAATACCACATCATTACTCCCACAAACACTATAATACCACATCATTACTCCCACAAACACTATAATACCACATCATTACTCCACAAACACTATAATACCACATCATTACTCCCACAAACACTATAATACCACATCATTACTCCCACAAACACTAATACCACATCATTACTCCCACAAACACTATAATACCACATCATTACTCCCACAAACACTAATACCACATCATTACTCCCACAAACACTAATACCACATCATTACTCCCACAAACACTAATACCACATCATTACTCCCACAAACACTAATACCACATCATTACTCCCACAAACACTAATACCACATGCAAAACACCAACTTACACTTTCTACACTTGCTTTTTTTTCAGATGTGCGACTCATAAATACTTAAAAATGTGAATAATCATACCCACATAATTTATATATTTGAAAGGCAGCAGCGAGCACAAGTGTTCCACATGTAAACAAAATGTTAGAATCTTGGTAGTTCAAACATGTGACCGACTTGAGGCACCTCAGTCTTAGACCAAACTTCCTTGATAGCCTGGTCAACCAGGCTGTTTGTGCTAGCAGCCCGCAGGCCTTTGGCCCGGCTGATCAGGCATTTTAGGGAGATAATGGTGACGTTTCATTCTGACAACTTCTACCATCATTCTGGCAGTGTTGCCCATGTGTGCTGGTAAAGCTACGACCTCGAGTGTTGACACATTGTACTCTGACTTCCACAGCGCTCGTGCTCACTCTTCACTGCCTTTATTCTACACTTTTCTCCCATATTTTTTTTTTTTTACTCCAGTACGTTGTTATATCGGTGTATATTATCATCAACCTATTTCTTCTCCATTCCGTAGTTCTTCTTCTAATTATTATTATTAGTATTAAGTGCTACGCACATATGGGTCACTTATTATTATTAAAGTGCTAAACCCATATGAGTCACTCAGCACATGGAGTAAGGAAGGCTCGATCCTCCGTTTACTATTCATAAGAAAGAGGAGCTACCCCTGGCAGGAGTAGAACTCTGGACACCAGTCACAGGTATGTTAGGTGGCTGGCACGGGGAGAATAGCACACTAACGTTCTTCAGGTCCGCGCACCTCCCCCACCCCCCTCAATCAAGCTCAGAGGCCGGGGGTAGGAAGCACATTCTCCAACCACCAGGGTGATAAACGTTCAGATTTAAAGTTGTCTGTTTTTCCCCTGCTACCTCGTTGCCAGGCGTATACCAGCTGATTTCTGTATATTTTTGTGGTCATATATTGTTATAGGCTTGTGTAACTTAAATTTCTCTGTATATATATACACGCATACACAATAACAACTGGAAGTTGAAAACTCAGATGAGTTACAGGGATGTTAGGAAGTATTTCTTCAGTCATAGAGCTGTCAGGAAGTGGAGCAATCTGGAGAGTGATGTAGTGGAGGCAGGATCCATACATAGCTTTAAGAGGTACGATAAAGCAAAGAGGTGGGGCCGGATGTGAATCGACCCCTGCAACCACAAATAGGCGAGTACACACACACACAGTGGCCACATTATTAGGTACACCCTTAAAGTACTAGGTAAGGTACCCCTTTGCCCTCAAAATAGCATAAATTCTTCGTGGTATTAATTCAAAAAGGTGCAATACCTGGAAACATTCCTTAAAGATACTGGTCCACGTTGACATGATAGCATAGCGAAGTTGCTGCAAATCTGTCGGCTGCACATTCATGCTGCTAATCTCCCATTCCATCACATCCCAAAGGTTGATACTATATTATGGCCCTACCACCTGCATGCTGCAGTAGAAATAGCGATTCGTCAGACTAGACGACATTTTTCCAATCTTCAACTGTCCAATTTTGGTGAGCCTGTGCCCACTGTAGCCTCAGTTTCTTTTTCTTAACTGACAGGAGCGGAACCCGGTGTGGTCTTCTGCTATCTTCCATTCATTTCAAGCTTCGACGTGTTGTGCATTCAGCGATACTCTTCTGCATACCACTCTTGTAATGTATGTTTAAGTTACTGCCACCTGCCTGTCAGCTTGAACCAGTCCGGCTATTCTCCTCTGACCTCTCTCATTATCACGGCGTTTTCTCCCACAGAGCAGACGCTCACTGGATGTTTGTGTTATCCACACCTTTCCCTGTAAACTCTAGAGACTGTTGTGCTTGAAAACCCCAGAAAATCAGCAGTTTCTGAAATACTCAAAAGATCCGGCCGGCGCCAACAATCATTCCATGGTCAAAGTCACTAAGTCACATTTCTTTCCCATTCTGATGTTCGGTCTGAACAACAACTGAACCTCCTGACCATGTCTGCAAGCTTTTAGGCATTAAGGTGCTGCCACGTGACTGGCAGATTAGATGTTTGCATTAACCTGGAGTATACCTGGAGAGGGTTTCGGGGGGGTCAACGCCCCCGCGGACCGGTTTGTGACCAGGCCTCATGGTGGATCAGGGCCTGATCAACCAGGCTGTTACTGTTGGCAGGTGTACCTAACAAAGTGGCCACCGAGAGGTGTCTTTCATAAGTGTATCTACACAGAGATGTGTGTGATTTTATATACACCGAGGAGCGATTTCATACATACCTAAAGGTGTGTCTCTCAGTGTATATTCACTGAGAGGCAGCTCTCTCTATTAGCATAGCATAGACATCGAGAACTCTCTCAAAATGTGAAGACGATGAGATTTCATTTTAATCCCCATCTATTTGCGACCAGTAGTGAAAAGGTGACAAGCAGCTTTACTGATTATTGAATAATGGATAAACTTTAAACTTAATAAACTTGCCAATAAGGGATGCCCTGACGTCTCAAGGTCAGCGTAACCCAACAGGCGAGCTAGGCAGCCTCCCAGGATGGCACCAATTGGGGACATGATGCGAAAAAATGTACAAGAAGTATTTACAATCGTTATGTGTCTTTTTTTTCATTTTTATTTAAAATAAATCATGAAATGCCAAACACCTCTGCATCTTAGCTTATCCTACAGACATATTTGTGCTTGCAAGTTACACAACCTCAATAATACCCGAGCAGACCAGAGAGACAACTCTGACTATCTCATAGACTTGTCCCATCATACACGAACATGACAAATATAGGAGGGTGTTTACAAGCAGCTGCTATACAATTCTATGACACCAATGAACAAAACATTGGATTATGCCATAACTTGAGAACCACGTGCAGCTGCCCTGGCTGGTGGGACTATGACCACGTGCAGCTGCCCTGGCTGGTGGGACTATGACCACGTGCAGCTGTCCTGGCTGGTGGGACTATGACCACGTGCAGCTGCCCTGGCTGGTGGGACTATGACCACGTGCAGCTGTCCTGGCTGGTGGGACTATGACCACGTGCAGCTGCCCTGGCTGGTGGGACTATGACCACGTGCAGCTGCCCTGGCTGGTGGGACTATGACCAAGTGCAGCTGTCCTGGCTGGTGGGACTATAACCACGTGCAGCTGCCCTGGCTGGTGGGACTATGACCACGTGCAGCTGTCCTGGCTGGTGGGACTATGACCACGTGCAGCTGCCCTGGCTGGTGGGACTATGACCACGTGCAGCTGTCCTGGCTGGTGGGACTATAACCACGTGCAGCTGCCCT